TTCTCTGCAATCGCATCAGACGTATAACAATGTCTACATTGAGTGCAAATTAGTTTATGCAATAGATCCTGTTGCTTCACTTTCATGCTCCCAGCTTATTTTTTATGGTTTATTGCTACGCACGAGCCGTTTTTCATCTCCAATTACGATTCGATACAATAATGTTGGCTTTTTGAAAAATGAGGGGATAAGTTGCTGTGGAAACGTGGTCAGTCTGTTTCGTTTCGTCAAAACATGCCTTTGATGTTGTCATGCTGTCAAATTCTCACTATGTAGGCTCTCAGCAATCCCTTCAGTGAAAATCGATAGATTGAAACTGTAAAGTCACCACCAATGCCGGGAAGTGGCCCAGAGCGAAGTTTATCATTCAAATTAGAGTACCCACTTTTGACTCTCCCAAAAGGTGGATCACAGTCCAAACGAGGATCTTAAGCATTTTTTGCTCGAATCCCATCACTCAACCCTTTATAAACTCAGCCCCACATGGCAAAAATGCAAAACTTCATATTATGCCTGCACATAAATGCACATTTTAAGGTTTTGTGGACTCACGACGCCTTTAGATAACCATCAATTATTGATATAGTAGTAAAAAACAACACTTTTGGAGGCCATATTTTGATCATTTGTGAAAGTTAAGCACGAACTCTTGCAATCACCCGATATTTACTTTAACGCACTATGAAGATTTTGTGTCGACATAAATTTTGCTGATTGGACAATGACTCGAGTGGTGGCGACATTTTAACCTGGTAATTATTTACTCTTTAACACGCTTTTAGCAGTTATGTGGTAGGAAATTGCTTGCATTATCACGCCAAAGCTTAAAATAGAAAGCAACTGAAAGGAGCTACTTTGGGGTCATAGTGGAACCAACACTCTTGTATTGAATTATGGGCATCTTATGTCGAAATGTAAATACTAACTTTCAAACGCCTGTGTGCATTAATTTGCCATGATATTTTTTTCCGTACACACGATACCAAAAATAAATCCGTTAGTGACTGCAAAATTTAAAACCATATCTTATTACTTGGCTTTTGTGGTTTTTTAATATCTTAGATACAAAGCATTCCCACTGTAGGAACTTTTCGACAGAAATGTTAGGCTCAGAACTATACCGAATCCATTTGATCCATGCTCACAGTCAGGGTGTTGGCGCAGCTTTTTTGGCTCGTGTGCTCCGATCACAAGGTTGACGGTGAGCCACAACCTGCGCAAATTTGATCGCACTGCGGCCTGCCTTCCTCGAAATGCGACTATTCTCACAGCTAGTTCCATAACTGCATCATTTCGTGACTAGGGTACCCATAAATGCCTTTGACAGCCGTTGTTCACCTTTATTTCCAAGACCCATGATTCTCAAAAATCGAGGTTGACGTGGCGATTGATCCCTTCATTTTCAATGCGTCCATTACATTGATGGAAGCTAGCTACTTATTTGCTGTATGTTTAAATTCCTGGTGTAAGTATTCCAGTAGGGTAAAAACTTGCCCATTACGAAAAAGACTGCTTCGAATACTGACATGAGAACACCTACCCAAGGCTATTTTATGAAAAGACAATTGTCATGGTTAAACATACTAAGCACCACGCAGATAAGTTATGAATTTAGCTTCATCAGAGCTCTAGTAAATGGTAGTTAGTAGTAAGTCGACATGTTCATCAAGGAGGTACACTAGGCTCATCACTGTAAGGAATCAACTCCCATATTAGCCAAAGCAGATAGGGGTAAATAAGTGGGCAAACTGGCCGGAAACAACAGACGGATCTCTCCGACGTCAATAAATATTCACTTGTCAAAATATGCCCTTAGGCAAGTAGCAGCTGTGGGGTATTTGCTCGACTTGATAGGCGATACTATGTAGATACAACCAGTGCTTGTTAGTACATAGCTTAAGAGGATTTCAGTGATAACTCGGAAAACTCAGCTATCCGGAGGTATTAAAAGTCAATAAGCTCTAATAAACTACAGAATTAAATACTCCGCCAGTAATTATGGCCCGCCAAATTAAATGATCACAATAACCGTTAAAAGATAATAAAAGACATTACTCACATGGCCAATTGACTCCTATCCCATTAAGAGTCTCCGGGACGTGAGGTTGGAAGAGGAGTTGGAGCGTAAAAGTATCCACGTATGAATACCTGTGGGAGGGAAGGACAGTGCAAATTAGGATTTTGTGGGGGACAGAATAGAAATCCAATTGGTTCACGTTGCGTCGCGGTGTCGGGTAAATGCGCAGCGCACCCCAAGTGTTGGCAGTTGATGCAAGGGGTGTGTGTGTGTGTTTGCGTAAGTTCCTGCCTCATCACCACACCCGCTTTGCCTTCAATGCGCGTGGAAGTGCTGCCAATCATAACTCAGCACGGCAACTGTACCAGTTGCTTGGTTCGCACTGATTGGGGCGCGGAAATAGAAGGTGCTGATTGGGCGAAACCCCGCAGATGAATTTTGAGGGATTACGGGACTTTAGTGCTAATGTAGCAATCCATTAATTTGGTTACCACTTCCACTACCAGAAGCTCGTAGTAGTTTTCTTAGAAAGGCAGCTGTAGACTTCCTCGAAATTTCTTGTTTTAAGTCTTACGTAAAAGGCATGCTTCGATCACAAGTAGACAACCAGTTAGATTAAGGCTACTAGAAGGGCTTAACAATTAGGGTGGGGACTTTTAAATTCTTATTATTTAGAAGAATGCTCCACGTTTTTCTCCTAATATGACTTTGGTCAGCTTGTATTAGATCCGGAATATCCTATTTAACTACTCATCCCTCAAGTTTCGGAGGCGATCAAAGTCGAAATGGGTTTACGCTGAATTTGGTGGCAATAATTTACTGCTAATATCCGATTTACAATAATAGGCACAATTATGTAACACAGTAAAATACAGTAAATCCACTGTTAATTGTAAACGAGCATTCCTCTCAAGCTAGTGTGGCATTACGAATGTGTGGTCTTCTGTTGATGGTGTGAACTGGAATAAAAGTGGCTAATTGCTTAAGTATTCTGTCTCATATGTTGCTAAATACACCCAGAAATTGACTAACGTGCGATACATATGGCAAAAATTTGAATTAACCGTATCCTTGGTGCACTGGGCTTGAATATCGCAGATTATAGTGAAATCTGGTAGAAACAAGCCAATTTCCTCAAGTAACATCACACTCTGGCCATCCACTTGCGTGTCCACACATGCGAAAGTCCTCTATAGGAACACAAATCCCAAATATTTTAACCTCGGCTTCCGGTTTTGCATGGTTAACCTTCCTTTCAAGAGCCTGTTACGAAACCACCATTATTTCTAGGGAAAGAAAGCCCTGTTGTAAGTGGTGAATTAACGAACTTGATTTCGCTAACAAGAGCACCAAATCCGAGCTGATCAACGAATCTAGCTCATTGGCCAGCATTTTTTAGCAAACGGCCATATGGAGTGATTCTACCGATAAATCAGATTGCAACACTTCATTTGCCTGCCACAGGATGTTATGAGACCTCATTTGGGCCTTCCAAATCTGTGTTAGCCCAGCCACCACCCCCATAAATGTAATCGCCGAGTGTTCCACCTCAGGCACATGAACTGACTACTTACGATCACCTAACTCAAAAGTCACATCTCTGGTACATGATCCCTTCAAGAAACCCAAGGGTCTCTTTCTGGCTGTACTTCCTTTTAATTTTTCTCAACATAAATTAATTTGCCCCTAATTACTTCATTTGTGTGCAGTAACATTTTAGAATTCGCGACTGTAAGCTCCAAAGAAAGGCCCGAGGGGTTTCTAATGGACCCTATAAACTGAAAGGCTGGTAGGATTATTCTTTAGCCAAAACACGTGTCCACCGATTTCTGCAAAATTCGGCATGGTTATGCATCCAGATGAGAATGTGTAGAGTTAATTCTGTTGCAAAAACAAACTCTTTGGAGAAAAGTAGTAGGGTGCTGTCATTTTTAACCTACACTGAAGCTTGTGGGTAAGAAGGCTGTTAAAGGGTTTGGTGTATGATGCGGCGTGGGACAACTTATTACTGAGGAATCAATGAACTATATAAAATTCATTAGGTGCCCCTTCTAGATCAATCACCGGCAGTATTCGTGTGAAACAGGCAATTCGACTGCTTTTCTTGTTTGAGTTCACTCACTTATTTTGTGGGTTCCATAGTAAATGAGGTGCTATGTCCGGTCAGAATTCCTAATATTGGAGACGAATTTTAAATTCAAAGCACTCCAAACCACCATAATTCTAAAAAAATCGCAGAATCAACTTATGGAAATACCATATTTCGCCCTGTTGTATGGGAAAAATGCGAATTCAAACGTCAGAATGATTTTTTTCCTTTTATTAAGTCTTCACATCAAACTCACGACCAATTAACAAAGCGTAATGTAACCTCTTATTAGGAGGCTGTTCTTTTTCAACTCCGTTCCTGATATGACCGCAAGAATAACTATCGTCATGATAACAGCAATTGTACCATACACCCAGAAGCAGTTCAAATAATTACTTTCTGTTTATGCACCAAGCCTACAAAAAACAATTATCTATTACTCGCTTGTAAACGAAAAAGCGTCCAACTTTTATTTCGTCCAAAAGAGAGCAGTGCCTGTTAAGGCAGGTTTAACCATACGTAATGTCAAATAGTCTCACAAACTTTTAATTCAGTGTGCTTAATTTAGTGGTGATTGTCTAAACCCCAACAAATGTCCATTTTGGGGCCTGCTCACAACTATCACCGTTTGAAACTGCTGCTCATGTGCGACTCCTCGATTCCCAGTAATCGACAGACTGATAATAAAAATTTTAATTGGTTTAGTGTGTACACATATATTAGTGATTGATCCTAGCCCACACTTCTATATCTTACTAGGCGGAATGCTTTGAGATGAAGAAAAGGCTGGCGAGGATCGGGTGGAGCGGTTGTTCATAGGCTTCTACTCTCTTCGGCACTGACGAATGCCTCTTGAACGCTTGTGCGGAAGCGCATGTAATTGAAAATACACCACTACTTTAGTAGTTGTGCAGCAAGATCAAAGGCTTTATGTGGATTGAACGAGTGAGGATGAGAAAAAGGACGGAGCGAGGGGGAAGACGGGAGAGGAAAAGCGAACGAGAGAGGAAGATAGGATGTGGGGAAGTGGAGACAAACGGTAGTGGGAATGGTACGACACGTTCGGACACCCTCAAGTGCACGAACACACACTGTTAAGGAGGGGGCGGTGGCGACGGGCTGCGTGTGTATTATTGGGGTGTGTGGAGGACAAGGGGTGGAAGGTGTTGATTTTCGGGGCAGGTTGGCCCTCCAGCAGGGCTCCACCTCATTGGCATACTAGAGGTGGGAGATCGACATTTTCAAATTTATATACATAATCATCCAGCAGGCCCCGAAAATCAACAACCTTCTCTTTATTGTCTTTTTATTCATCCCACCATTTTACCATATTTTATTTCAGCCTCCAAAATTCACTACCCACCAGATTTGCTCCTCTAGTGTTATCAAATGATCTGCGTTGGTGTGCATCCCGAGTATGCAGATACTAAAGGAGTAACAAAGGCAATACTAGAATTTCCCATCAACCAGGAGAGTGATTACCAGTCAGTGTGTGGGTTTAATCCTTTCCTCACGAAAACGTAATGCCTATTTAATACGCAAAATTTCACGCCAATAGAGGGTGATCATATTCACATAAGGATTAATTACACCTGAGTTCGGTGAGCAGTAAGCGTAAATTGTGCAAAACACCAGAGTTATAACAGAAGACGCGTGCTCAGTTTAATGCTTTTCAACAAGACAGTTTATCCATTGGCACAATTCACTCCATTACCAGAACCTAATGCCCGTATTTGTTCGAACTAGCTTGAGCAATGCAGGCCCCCAAAATGCAAAGTGGAAAAAGCTTTATAGTCACTGCCACATTTGAAAAGTAAAATGATTTGAAGAAGGTTTGAAACAGAATGCTCCAATAAAGAATTGTGGACTGGTTAAAGTCTCGACTCGCACATCCACACACTACAGTCTTCGCGTACCACATAGACACACTTTTGATTTGGTGCTGTCAACTTTTGGTCTTAGAGGGCATCAAGAAGTAGGCGCTGGCTACGAGCACCCTGGTCCTATAGGCCATGGAATTTTGACGAAAATCTGTCGTTTTGCCACACAGGTTTACCGTGTGCCCACTCTCCACGAGAAAAATGGTGAAAAGAGCCTGTGGTATAGTGTGTATTGTGGTTTCCGAAAAGTTGAATATGTTCCATAACCAGGACTGCAGCATAGCCCTCATTGAACATATATGTTAATAAAAATGACACCCTTAATTATTTAGTTCTGCTTACTTATATTATTTGTAGTTTGCAGTTCGTAAAACTAATCATGCTTAATGATTACCGTGTGGCATGAAACTTAATGGTGTAAATTAGCAGATAATGGACTTATTTAACTTAAGTTATATTGTGTGTAAGCAATAAAAGTGTAAATCATATTCGTAGAAAACGTTCGATAGGAAACAATTTTCGAGTTTCCTACACTGAGCTTCCTTTGATTTTCAACTAGAATATCCCTGACGTAGAACCAATGACTAAGGCTAAATTTTACTTACCTAAGTGTTAATAATACCCTAGTATTTTTAGTGCGAGGTCATCATGGTGCACGACAAAAGTAAAATGCGCATAATGAGGTAAGAAAAGAAATAAATGAGGTTCCGACTGAGCCTTAAAGAAAACCAATACGAACGGTTACGCAAACAGGATCACATCTGATAAAAATTGGGGAAGGAGTTTTATGTTTCCTTGAAAACGCTTTGAAGTACCGCCTGCATGCTCAACTGGATAGTTACTCCACAACTGCCACAAGTGTCACCAACTAGTGGTAACCAGCTGCATGAGCACGAACGCGGAGGCTGAAGGAAATTAGTCTGAGGTATTTCAGACAGGCCTCTAGCAGTCAACATCAGAAAAGGAAGATAGTGGGAGGACGCCAGATATAATGAGTGACTGATTGAGAAGTTGGCATTCACAAAATTCACTGAACATAGGCTCAGCTGTTACCATCGCAGTGCCTACTTCGTCGAGTCACGTAAAATAAGTTGATTATAACAGGGGTGAATATAGTCAAGTCTACGAGGAACTTTGAAAAACATTTGAAGGCCAGCAGGGAAGGTGTTCAACCCACAATTCACTGCCATGTAGAAGCAAAACGTTGAAACAGTGATTTGGCTAGGTGTATTGCTTTGTACCTCAATTTTATGTTACTGGATACCTTTGTAAACTGCATCCATAACCTAATCCCCATCAGTTTTCTGCGTTAGAGGTCAATTATTGTTTAAATAAGGTACCCCAATGCGCAGGAAATATATGAGAAGGACTTCGAGGCTGGTAGTTGAAACTTAAGCATACAGCAGCTATTAAAGGCGTCTATTTTAAGTGCAATACGAAACACAACTTATTCCGGATATTTCAACAGCCAGAATACCAGTGTCTTAGTAACTGGAACTTCTTCTCGCTGAGTAGTACTTGCACTGAAAGAGGACGAAACCGTAATACTAGAACACTACCAATCGATTTGCGACCAGCCGCTTAAAATTTCGAGTGCAGGGACTTGTTTATCTTTTTTCAAAATCTCACAGCAACCAATGCTGATTGACACAACAAATTAGTATTATTGACAGGCAGACGAAGATGTGTGAATTGTTCTTAGCTGAAGTTAAAAAACACCCTTCTTAAACTCCACCTCACGAAGGCGGAAAGAGCTGCAGATATGTCAGTCACGACAGTGTTCATAAACAACGAAGAGATTATGGCGTGGAGGACAAGACTAAAGCAGCCTTACTGATTACGCATGACAATAAAGTAACCAACTTTTTCAGCCTGATTATTCATTGAGTTTACTCAAGGGAGTCTCATGCTCTGTTAATCAAACAAGAACACATTAAATGGCTGGACTTCAACAAGGCGGTTTGGCTATAAATTGAGCCACAAGGCTCGTGAGTTGCAATGTATGACGATGTGACGGGGGAAAAAACGAGAAAAGCGTTTAACCAGAGAACCCATAGACCAGTTTTTCTCAATTTATCCTGATCAAGCCCTTTAAATAAAAAACTATGAACAAATCCAGAGGCATAGCTTAAATTTCATTTATTAAATCCTGTTGAAAATGTAGGTGAACCCACGTACAATTATGATTATATTTGTCGTGAATTTATACTGAATATGGCATACTAGTAAAACATGACCCGGTTTAGTCAGAAGTCCTTATTGTGTTTGAATTTTCTGCGTCACACAACAAACTGCACAATCCAATGGGATTTAATAGAATACACTCAAGTTAAAACTGCTGGAAAGGCACAATAATCTTAAGCAGAAGTCCATCTACTCTTAGGCAAAGTATTTCATTAATGTACCAATGTTAATATTGACTACCACTAAACTCAATAAAGATTGTTATTCGCTACTGTTAATACTCAAACCGAAGCTGTAATTTAATTCGGATGCACTTTTGTCTCACTTCCTTTTGGGCTATCATAACCCGAAACCCATGCGTTTAGAGTAAGTCAGCTGATGTTTAGCCACGTTGGCGGCTAATAACTCAAATAGGGGAAGCGGAAAATCACTTTGAAGTCCAAAAATGGCCATGGTTTCATGTTCATCTGACTTCATTTCAGTAGCCGTTATTTTAGGCACTGTTCCCTTGAGTGCGTGTGACTGTCTAGACACCCGTCTGATGAGTCGAGACGGCGACTGCATGCGTGAAACGGACTCGCTACTTTTTGAAGCTAGTGCAAAAATTATTGATCTGTCGCGTAACTACAGCTGCGAGACAAAGTGGGCAAAAAAGCTGACGACGAGCGAGCGATCGTACGTGTTACTTTCATGGTTATTTTGCTAGACCAGCAAGCACTCCCACCAGCTCAAATTTCCCTCTTCACCCAAAATTTTCATGTGTCACAATAACAGCAGAACCACAAGTACACCAATTACACAGTAAGAGTAGAATCGTGTTAGAGGAAGTGCAGTGAATATCGCAGAAAGTAGGACAAATGGAGAAAAATGTTGGTTTAAATAATTCCATCCATTTTTTTCCGGCCAACAATTAGTTAACCCAGCAACTTCCTAATCTTGAGTAACTTACCTGCACAGGTACAAAAAATGAATTGGCTCGAGACGGCTACACTTCCATAGTTCTTAAGCTCCATATAATCAGGGATTCAGTTACCGAACAACCGTTGATGGAAGTTTTTCAAGTTCACACTTAAATTTCTTCGTCGATAATTTGCAGAAATAGTCCTCGCAAAGGAGTCGTACAATTACATGAGATCGCGATATTTCACTGAATTGAGTTTAATTTCTCGAGTTTAATGATGATCGGAAAATTGTGTTTATGAGTGTTCTCAGATGTCAAGATAACCCCGCCTTGTCTTGGCTCTAAATTTCCTCCCATGGATCACTCCGGGACTGTTAATCAGCCAAAATTTCACTTGTCCAAACACGGACTTTCGGGTCACGAAATAGGTAGATCGCTGACAAACAAAAGCCCTCCACCCAAGGTATTTCAAGGTCAGTGGTAGACACCACATGACGAAAAATCCCACGAAACTGGTATTCACAACAGTTGTGTTTTTTAGATGTTCAACCCCTCTTAACCGGAATGCAGATTAAAGCAAGTTATCTGCCATAGATTGGAACGCTTTCCAGCTGCTGTGGCTTGCCTTTGCATTGATGGGATTTTTGTAAGCTTAGAATATATTGGACGAAACAAAAGAATGTCGAAATTCCGGATTAAGAAGAATTTAATGGGCGTTCAAAAACCTGCCATTGGGTTGTGCTAGATTGAGCATGTGCTATTACAATGTTACTAATTATTTTACTATCATTTTCGTGAACAAAAACAGAAGTACTGCGGTGCCTACACTAAAACGAGGTCGGCACACATGAAACATAATCCAAGGACTGGAGCCAGAATTCTACAATGGACAGCACTTGCTGTCAGCAGAAAATATGGGCCTCATCTTTATGTGATCGGTCTTTAGAGCGGTTGTCTGTTGGTATATGGAGACAGTTAACCACCAGTTGGTTGAGTATAGGATAAGATCGTATTTAGTGGAATACTGCACCAATTATGATAAAAAACTAATTCACTTATGGTGTAGTTTAGACAATAAGCAAAGGAGAGACAACTAAGGGAAGGGTACGAGTTTCGGTCCTAAAAGACCTGCTCACCGGTAGTTGTATCGTTCTACAGTGTTGGATATGTAAGACTGCAAAACACTAGAGGCGTAGGTCTAACGAATGACCTGGCCGCTGTCTTGGAAATCGTAATAAAACTTTGTGTTAGATAAGTCTCTCATAAATTAGATAGTAAAAACAAATCAAGTTACCCCCAGCCCCGCCGTAGGCTCGGTTTGGGAAAGGTCAACTCCATATGCTGATATTCGTCCCAAGGTGCATGTAAACTTGCTAAATTAAAATGACGATTAACTTTATCAGAGAGCTAGATACAAAAGTCCAGGATTCCAGCTAAACTATTCACATCTTTCAGTCTGCAAATGCGCGCACGTCCTTAATCGGCGTCTAGAATGCAACCCTTAAGGGAAACAAACCAACCAGACAAGCGAGAGACTGTCGCAATCCTCCCGTCTGGACGCAGCTCTAGAGGTAACTCATGCAGAATGAGGAAGCCCGTTTCATGCTGCAATCGATATTGTGGATGCCATCGATATTGTCGGTGACACACATTCAGTGTAGATTTAATTTCCGCCCATTCCCTTCAACTTGAAATAATTTGATTTAAAACATGAGAAATTTTGCTTAAATCCATGTTCAGTGGCCTGACGGTAGTCAGATTACATTAAGGATTCAGGCATATTTTCCACATGTAAGAGGCAAGACGATGAAAGTGTAAAAAATAAAGTACCGGGTGTATATAGAAGCGAATGAAAATAAACATTTTTAATAAGTTACCGATTCAAAACCATTTAAAATACGCACGTTTTTGACCTAACCTTTCCTGATTTACAGTCAGCAGAAATATCAATCCATGGACTAATAAAGTCATAAAATATAAGACATTGAAAGTCCATGGTAAAATAAAATATGAGGACTAGCCCAATATCAAAAGTTGATCACATCATTGCACAAAATAATACTAATAAGTCCCCGGGTTATTTTTGTTGGCTGTGGATTAACGGGAGGCTGTTTTTTTTATTCCTCTGGCTCAATTACAAAATAGATTTTAGACAGTGAACAATCGACATTTGATCTGAGAAACGTTTAATACTTTCTGTAAACCAAACTACTAAGTACTAAACAAACAACTGGACGCATTCCTACCATGTTAGTCAGACAGACATGAGCAATGTCTGAGTGGATGTGAGGTGGAGCTGGGGTCTAAAGGACCACGTGGTCTTCGAAAACAGGTAAAAGTTTTATTTGAGACCCATACACACGCGTGCGCACACACACGAACACAACATCACACACACACACACACACACACACACAAGAAGAAAGCGTGAGCACGAGATGGTTTGGGATGGGGCGTGAGATGTGCTCGCGTGCGTGCGTGCGCACGCGGAATGGTGGGCGCGGCGCGACACCGCCCCTTTGATGTCGAGGGGACCGACGAGGCGGCGGCGGGCTTCCGTCCGTTGAGAGAGCGCGCGCATGCTCTAAAGGTGATTTATCGGAGAGCGCGGTCCTTTGCTTGCACACCCTCTATTGCATGTCCTCGCTCTCTCTCTCTCTCCCATGAGTGTGTGTGTGTGGAGGGGAGAGGCTTTGGGGGGCTGGTATTTGCCGATTAGAATTATGGAGGAGTAGTAGTAGTAGTGTCTGGTGAGGTGTACTTCTGTCCTGCCTGAGTAGGCTCCATTAGGAAGCCATTGAGACTAAAGACGCCAGAAGTACACATTTCCGAAACGTTAGACCAATCTATCAGAAGACCTCGTTTGTCCAAAATTTCAGGATTCTGGGTGGTTCTTTTAACACTGGAACACAAGTGCAAGATATTCAACTTGAGCACACCCACTCTGCACTTTGAAGTGTGTTCATTGCTTTGTGTTTGCTTCAGAACACTCGTCTGCATTCTCCCAAGGTGTTAAGTAGGTATGAGACACTTAGTTGGGCCACAGCAAGGACGGCGTGAATGCCATCGCTTGTGTGCTTGAATAATCAACTTCTTTGGCGACTCGATTAACAACGTTGAAAGGATTGGGTTGTCAGTAAATTATTGGAGTGAAGCTTTAGCGGGTGAAGGGGGAGAAAGAGGGGTGAACTGAATGGGGTGTGGGAAAACAAGTGTAGGAGCGCAATTAGTGTGTGGTCATATAACTCTCTGGATAACACGCGTCTCCCAAAGCTACAATCCTGTTCGAAGTTGTCCCAGCCGTACACCGGGACTTCGCCTGCAGTTGGGCTGAGTCAATGCTTTGATGTTTATCAACGTGCTTGCTTCCTATCAGGAAAACGCTCGCCTGTAAATCATACATCCAAGTCATCCAATTATTCTTTACAATGTGTCCCTACTTTTAGCTTAGTTTGAACAAAAAGGCAGAACCAGAGTTTGAGATTTCATAATTCCAAAACCCACGACTGGGTCTTTATTTTATAAAGCCCATGTCCGTATTCGATGTCTATTTTTTTTATCTAAAAATGGTTAAATTGCCTGAATTGGTATGTTATTGTTTGACTCACCAGATGCAAAGCTCACCACCAAGTAGACCATCAACCTAGTTCAATTTACACAATATAACACTTCTTTAAAGAGTCATGTAAGTGTTCTTTGAGTGTGTGGGGTTGATTATTTTAGCAGGCCCTATTCTACAAAGCGGGCAAATACGAACAACTGATGGTTACTATCGATGGATCACAATATATCTACCTACGTTGGTCTGAAAGATTGTAAAACAGAAAAGGAACTATGATTCAACTCCTAACTCGAAAGGTCCATTACAGACGATATTAAGTTCAAATCCAAAGAGAAGGGGGTTAAACATGGGAAAAGGCCTTATCCTAAAACATGCCTGCAAACGACATTAAACGGATATAAATTTTTTTAGTAAAATTTGAGAAGTTATCAAGTGAACTCAGTCCACCACAGAAGTAAAATTGCTAATTGGACGACGGCTTAATGTCCCATCAAACGTTTCTGGCCTGAACAAAATAAGTGGCGTTCAGACGAACCCGAATGGTGAAAAGATCTCACGCATTCCTTAATGTAGCTTCATCCACAAGTGTGCATTCCAAGCGGACCTTGGTGTTTTGATGCTTTTTAGCATCGTTAAAAAGTAGCAAATAACGGCGGACAGATACCAAACACAGGGGATGTTGACAGAACTGTTTTTGGTGTCCGAGCAGGCACAATTGGCGCCGCACTAGTTAAATTAAGAATATGAAAAATACTACTGCTCGGGATGTGTGCCGGCAGTTGCATTGACCGCTTGATAGTCTTGGCTGAAAGTCATCAGGTTAATGCTCGCGCTATTAATGCCAGCGAAGCCCAAGATCCATTGAATTTCCCTGCACTACTAAACAGTGTAAATCACAGTATGTAAATTTTTGTTTGCATAGTCTTTTTAACACTGCTGGAGTGTAGACTGATCTCTGAAATGAACAAATAGTGAACACAGCATTATTCTGATAATTTCAACTTTATTCAATATTTGTAATCCACCACTACAAATACAATTAATCCTAACTTTCATGACCGAAAGAATTTCAGGCTATTTTATCTGTAGACAACTCGTCTGTGTTAACACTACTCCATAAACCATCAAAATCATTCCCGCTATAATCGATCAGTTTTTTGTCAAATTTAACTCTAGCCTTCTTGCATTATTGAAGACCTGCTTCATATCAAAATAAGCTGCATTGAGAGAAGTACTAAATCTAATTTTCCCAGTTGGAGATTGTCAAGGTCCAGTGTGACTCTAGCACAACAGTATATCCGCAACCCTAGCCTTCGTACCTATATACAGCAAGCGAAACCAAGTTGTTTACGCTCTAATGAGGCCGAATGAGCCAAATTTAAGACACACGCAAGTGTGAGTTTAAAATATCAAAATGGACTTTGTCGGTGCTAACAAGCCAAACCCGGAAATCCACCCCTCCCATTAGTTGCAGTCGTCAATTTTAACACAAATACCATTCCTTGTGCAGATTATCAGCACAAATCAAATCAAAAAATGAAAGAATCAAAAAGAGGAAGCAAAGGCGATCGTCTGTAAATAAAGGGCTTCATTACCTCGTTAAATTGCTACTATGATAAGATTGCATGTTAAACTGAGGTCAAACTTGGCTCAATTTTGTCAAAAAGCTGCAAATTCTAAGCTTGTTAAACTTCCATCCAATGAACCACGGCCAATTGGTAGACTTGTCTTACATTGAGATCCCATAAATCGCAGAACACAACCTTAGACATTGTAACATGATTTTTCTTATAAGTTCAACTTTTATCAAACAGAACGCAGGAACGTGCCATGGGGAATTGAGGTCATTGCATGAGAAGCTGCCAGGTGCCACCAAATAATAGACGAAAATATTTGTTCACATTGGGGGAACTCAAAGAGCTCGTTTAACACCATTGGGTCACCGTAGAAAGCCGAATAATTTGTACTTAAGCTAACATTGTGATCAAGGTTATATTTTGAGCTTCTGTTACGTCGAAGTTTACTATTGTCTTAGAATAGGTCGAAAGGCCAGCCTTCTCTCGGATTCGCTAAATAAATTCCTGGCTGGTAAGCAATCTGCAACAAAGTAACGAGAATTTTGGCATCTGAGTAGTTACACGGTGTGCTAGTTATACTTGGCCCATGCGATTGTCTAGTTAGGGGTTCACGGGAAGGGATCACAAAACAAGACATACCCCTGGGAAGGAGTAGTGCTAGTCCTCGCGTGGCCTTGACCTGATTCGAGGTGGAGTCGACCGCGCGACCGACCGAGTTTAGGGCGCGAGATGTGTGAGATGTGTGCTGTGCCGCTGAAGAGAGAACGAGGAGGACGAGGCCGTCTCTGCTGTCCATTGGCTATCGGGCTTTGATGTATGCCGACGCAAACACACACACACACACACACAGGCAAGCAGCAAGCAGCGGCGGCGGGCAACCTGGGCAAACTGCACGCGCGCACACGCCCACGCAAGGCCGAGCATACGTGCAGCCGCCTCCACCGCCACCGCCGCCACGTCATGTGAGGCGGAGTGGCTAAGGGCGTTGTCAACCCTTCGCTCCTGCATTTTCGCCTCTCGGTCCGGAGAAAAAATATAGACAAAATTAGTCAATTTGGTCAAGGGTCATCAATGCAATGAGGAAAAAACAGCACTAATTTCAGGTTTTCATTTTCTGCTCCATTCTTTGGACTCAATGATTTGACAACAAAGCTTGAATTTGGAACGATGATAAGGTGGGGAGACGACCTTGACCACTTTACTTGCTCTGCTGACCCCGTTTGACCGGGGGGCAATCACGCAAGGAGCTTTTGACGTATTGCTGTGGATGCCGCCGCCTCACTGCTTGAAGCGGTGAGCGTTAACAACAGAAAAACCATGCAGTCTTGGCATTTCTAACAAAGATAAAAAGCGATGAACAGAGGGAACCAGCACATTCTTGACTTGGTAAGCTTCCGTTATCGACACATGAAAGATACCTACCTCTACTGTAGGCTGAAGAACAAATTTAAAAACCCGTAGTGGCTGTTCATGATCGGTGTCTTTGAGCCTAACAGTGTGTGTTTACTGAAAGATAGTCAAGAAGCAAAAGCAGCCGTTTTTCTGCACAGCCGGCCAAATAATGATTTCCAGTGGAGAGGTGGAGGTAATAAGCAGTTAAGCTTGTAGGACGTCGGCGGCCTCATTTTCATTGCTCAGGTCATGTATTTGTGCATATAATCAAGGCAGAGAATGAAAGAAGGGGAGTCGTGTCAATATGCATTAACTGTTAGACTCTAAGGTTCAGTCACACCGGGTTTGTCATCCGTCTCTTCAAGAAAATGCGTGGTTTAACAGGGCTCCAATTGTTCCCGTGAATTTTATTTGCCAAAACTCGGAGGACATTAATATTGAAATTTCGAGCTATGACTTTCTTGAAAAATGGTTGTAAGTAACAGAAAATCACCAGTTGGCCTAAAAAATTGCATTCGCGGTATGCTGCAGGCCAACCAGACTTTATTTAAACAAAGTGTGGCAAAGGATTCGTTTTTACCAGGAGGGATCGTCTCATCGTTCGATGGAGAAATAGGACTCGAATAAGGCACCTCTTCGGCGTTCGACCAAAAGGCGTCTAAAGTGTATGGGTGGCTGGTCGGCCGTGTTTGTCCACAGGCCTTATAATTTTGCAATTAAATCACCAGAGGACTTGAATTTGCCACGAAAAACAGATCCCATTGCTGTCGGTGAGGAAACACAAAGTGGCCAGTCAACAGAAAGGTCACTTTCACACGGAAAGCGTCTCGCACCTTGCCACTCTTAAACAGCCACAGTTGACAGGTTTGCCAGCGTTTTGCACTTCATTATGTGCATTTGCACTGTTTCACAATGACAGGTTTAATTCACTACCGAGGACATAAAAGCTACTTTCCAGATGGTGGCCAGCAAGAGGGGAAGAAGTACAAGTTACTTTGATCGGATCCATTTTTCTACCTGTGTTTAGAGCTACTGGGCAACAGCAGTCTCACCGCGACATAAAACCCACTGGAATGAGAATACATTTTAAAAGGCAAAGTAAGCAGGATGAAAGGAAGTCAAAAACAATTTTGGCATGAAAAAGTGGTAAGACCCGAGCGTTTTAAACTGCAAACCTAATTCACGGTGTCTTGAAAACGCTGGTTTGCACAATTTCCCCCGGAATGCTCATTGACAACACTGTGTATTAAGGTCAACATTTCATCCTTGTACAAATGCGCCGTGCAGCAAAAATGGGCGCTAAAGTGAGTTAGCCTGCAGAAAAAACGTTACGCAAACTCAATGTAATGTGATCTGGGAGGTTGACTTGTTGAATTGTTGCGTGGCATTGGCTCTCCTTTAGAAAGACCTAACTACAGTTCTTGTATGGTGGACATGCAATCGACGCTACTTGTAGCTTGAGCTCTGGCCACAAAAGCAAACAGCAGAGCATTTCTGACTTTTCGTAAAAGTGGTAAACGAAGATCGTAGCAGATGTTACTTTAGAAATCTGCTTTCGAAAATTAGGTGAAATAGAATTAATACACTACATATTACCAGTCTTAATAAACACAATGAGCCAAGCCATACAGTGATTGGTGTGTTTAGTAGAATACATTTGTTAGAAAAGATGAATAATCGCGTTAATTATAGTTATGGATGTTGCGCAAACACCATAATTCGGGCTCCTGACCTCAAAGCCCCTCTGTTACGGTAAATTTAAAGAGTGAAATCAAATGGATCCGAAACAGCCCCTATTGGGCCGGTGTAAAAGGCTGATTAGCCAGTAATAATACAAAATAGATGTTTGAGCATTGACAAATATCGTCTCAAATGCCTGCTTTACCGTATGGTACCAGACAGGTGTAAACATGGCTCGACTTAGCTTGTAGTCGCAACGGAAAGACTCCGAGATAACGATTACTATTATATTCACTCCATTAATGAAGAAGAGAGGAAATCCATTTGCACTAATGGAATGGATTTGGTGCAATCTGATTATAGCGTAAGACGATTTTGACAAAAGAACATTTCAATGGCATGACGACGACTTCAGTTTTAGAAAGATCAAAAAGCGAAATTTGATAATTAGAGATTTGGGAAAAAAACATTTTTTTACCTAATGTGGTGTATTAAAGTTCCCGGGAAACTCATTGGCCAACCGATGGCTTTTTTGCAGTAACCAGCTCAGCTCTTATTAACGGTTTCATTCACTCTCTGTTGTCAGTTCGGGGGAAGCTTGATGTTACCACACCTTCCAAAGGGAGCACATATTGGAATCGCCTTGACAGCAGACATAACTGGGAGGGAATGTCACCACTTACACCACCTATGTCTAGACGCATCAGTTTCTATGACTTTTTGACTTGCCCGTGGTTAACCATGACATGGCACGCGGCGAACGCCACGACGGCAGCTATTGATCATTCTTCCGGGCTTACTGCATTGCTTATAATTGTATTCAGTGTAGGTTTTTCAAGCAGTCGCTCTACCTGCATTTTCTGTCACCTTTGCTGGTTGGTTATTCTGGTAACTTTTTATAGTTCGTGAGCCTCGCTGAAGCGTTAAATAACGCGAGTTATGCCCAATTGGTAAACTGAAATTGTGGCTATGGTTTCGATTTCCAATTTCGTCAGGTTCTTTAAAAAAGATATTATTTGATCGCTCAGACATCCCAAACAAACAGGCACTGCTTATGTTAAAAAAAACTATCTCATTTCCTTTCCTTTCCATTGGTGTTACCCGTATACTGCCGAATTGGCCTTTTAGCCCAGTACCTGTTTTTCTTTCCTATTGTAAATCGTTCCGACCTTTTGACATGATTGTTCGCTTTAGGAGGCCTTAATCATTACAGATGTCAACTACTTTAGATTAAAAGCAGAGCCCCCTTTTAGCTAAGCGTCGTTCTGTAACTTAGGCCATCTTTTGTTACCTCTGGAAAATTGTTCTAATATGCAATAAGTAGTTGAAATCTAATAGGTTCCGGGTTTCTGAAAAGCAATTTTTAAGGCACAGCAAGTTCAAGGCAGATTGGTACAAATTACGATGAGAAATTTCCTTTACAGCGTGATGTTCCGGAGCGTGTGTGGGCTTTGCCCTCACAGTCGCAACAGATTTTGTGATCTGAATAAAATTTCCAAGATTCTTGCACTCTCTTCAACTAGTCGCTTTTTCTAAACAAGCCTTGAGAGAATGAGAACTTCCATAAAAATTCAAGACAGACAAATCGACACGACTTTCACCAAAGTTTTTACCTATCAGAGGAGCGCACAATGACATCCTGCATTATAAGCTGAAATCCTACACAAGTCTGCATAGATTACCAAATATTGGTACTATTTTGAAAGTGTAGTCAGAAGTTCACACAACAACTTCAGTTTATCTAATTTGTCAAATCATTTAAATGTTGGTTTTGTTTTAAAACATTGAGAATACTAATTCCAATAGAAGTAACAACTTGGGCTGAGTCAATAAGTTCCAAGATATCGATCAACGACCACGGTGGCTAATACTTTAAAAAAAGATTTAATTTTTTGGACAACAGAGTATTTCGACTGAAACGTCATTTTCATTAACATAAAGCATCTTCATGGGCCCTTGTCATTATATATAGTTTGACGCTGTTAAAGCAATTAACAATCATTTTGGCTAGCCGTAAATACCACAAGGCAGGCTGTTGTGATAAGGTGATTATTATCCAAAAGCTCAATTCCTGAAACCTCGCGTTGGGCGTTCAGTGAGTGATTGAGTTTGCTGATTTTGAGCAATTGGCAACACTAGATGCATTTTGTTACGTAAAATGTCATTAACAATGTACTGGCACATTGATTAACTAAAAAGAATACAACTTGTTTGACTGATTTTTTGTTATTGCGTACTATTTTTTAATCCCACGGAAGAATGTCCTAACCAAGAAACCAAAATAATTTGTGAGTTGAGCAGCACAAATGACTTTCAAATCTGGAGAATACATGGAATTTAGACAGACAATATATTTATTCAGACATTTTGACAGAGTTACTTCAGTGTAACTTTCGGTTAATTACTTGGTGTCAATAAAATTATAATTGCAAAATGTACTGAAATGTATCGAATCCAACCAATTTTTTTGCATCTACAAAAATAGACATTGGACATTGCATTGAGCGTCAGAAGAGTCAATCAAAGCAGGACTTACTGAAAAATTTTATTACATGACAAAAATGGGAAGTTAACGATTCAGGAATCAATACAAGTGTGCGCCAATGAAGAGTACATTGTAGGTCTTTTCACTACTGTAACATTTACAGTAGTATGCTGATTACTTTTTTGTTAGGGACACATTTCGACAAAATTGGAAATTTACATTAAAATGTCTAGAAGTACTTTAATATAGTATTGTTTCACTTTTCATATATGGAAGGCAGATGCAGTGCCTTTATTTCGATGATTCGGAAAGGTCCTTGTTAGCACTTTGGAGCTCTGTGAAACCATCCCGACTCTGATGTGATTTTTGAACCAACTTCAGTTCGGTCGGGTAATTATTCGTAGAGCACTACATCCATGCATCTGCAAGCCAACATTTCGGCGGCAAATTA